TCGACAAGTTTTCGTTTGAAAATTACGAGCGTGTATTTCCAAGTTATCGCGTTCCATTTATTACGCAACCAAAATATCGCGGGAGCGGTTTCTCGCGGATTTATGCAATCGAGCGCACCTTATCATATTACTCTCCCCCGCATTCCGTGAGATTATTATCTCATATTTGATTTAATTCATTTTATTTAATTCATTCTCCGTCACTCTCAATGAATTTCAACACAATGTGCGGAAAACGCGGCAATTCCCCTCGTTTTTTTTTTCGCTTCGATTTATTTTCCTGATTTTTCGCTTTCGCAAAAATATGGCTCTCTCTCTAATTTTCATCGTGTAAACGCATCTCGAAAAATCCAACCGCAGGCCATCCATCCAATTTCGTTGATTCGCCGGTGTAGCGCGCGCATCTCCTTTACGAGAAAGTACCTACGATTACAGTCAACGAAATTCTTTTTCACATTCTTTTTGTTACTATTCAATACACAGAGTGCCGCGTTCGCGGAATACTTATAATGTATTTGGGTTTTAAATTTTGCAAGAACAAGTCATCGTTACCAATCAATCAAATTGACCTACTTTTTGCGAATGGAAGGAAAACCATGTATATCGCTTGTGGATAATGAGATTCTCCGTAATGAGAAAATAGAATCTCTGTTAAGGGAAAATCGTTCCCCCGAGGAGGGAATCGCCGCGAATGCCTATGAAGAATCGATGGTAAGCAACCGCCGGATTACGCTGAACGACCGCCGGAAATGAGGCAGAAGTTGTAGCGTGAATTTCGTGGATCTTCCGAAGCCAAAACTGTTTTCCACGTGTGCAATTGTTATGGCGCGCGGTAATTGGATTTCGCCACCAGGGCGATGTTATGCGGCCCGTCCGAATTCCATCTCGGAGGAAAATATGACTCTGAAAATAAAATCGGCCGGGGTCCGCGCAATAAAATACATCCCTACTGCAATTATCGACATCTTCAGCTGCTGCCTCTCGGAGACTCGAACAGAGTGGGAAATCAACCGTAAATCATTCGTGATTAATAAAGATGAAAAAAGTACTCTCGTCGAGCAAGCAAATAAGCGTGTAAAACAAACGGTGTAAAATAACACGGTTGAGAGAGACGCGTTTCGTAATTGTAGGCGTTGCTTTCATGCATTCCCTCGTAATAGTAGCTTCTTTTTATTTGCAAAGAGTAATTAAAAAAAAAACTATCGAAGCATACACGATTCGCTCGTGTGTGTGTGTATGTGTATGTGTGTGGTGTGCGCTGTTATCGACGTTGGCGGCAACAACGTTAGCGTGCTTTAATGAAACTAATGAAACGCAATCACTCTGTAACACTGATACAACGCCGAGTTGGGTCAGCATTTGGGGGCTATTTCGCGGGCCGTTTAATCAGTCCGCCGTGGTGTGTATAACGCAATTTACAATGCGGTGTTGTGCTGCTCCAATTATTCCGAATTGCCGGTGCGGCCTGAGACGACGCGCGATAAAATCGCATCGAAATGCGTCGAGGCGCGCATGCGAGCGTGAACAATTATAATCGCTTGGGCTCATTTTTTTTTTTCGTCACGATTTTCGCGACACGCAACGTATTATACGTGCGTCGTCGTCAAATCGAATTGAGTCGCGCGAACTTGAGAGGCGGCATTCGAGAAGGAATGCTCAGCGGCCGATGTCGAGCGAGGAAACGCTCGTTTCGAAGCGAGCGAGGCGCCTTAAGGCTGCTTTCGCGCAAACACAAAGGACCAACTTAATAATTTAAAGCATTATCCCGCGCTAAAGCCCCCTTTCCGTCCGTCTTTGAATCCGCCGTCCGTAGACAATCTCGGAGTGTCTGAGCGACTCCGAAACTGGGGTAAACTCACGGATAACCGTAGCCGTTGGTCGATACCCTTGCCCTTAATCTGCCCCAACGTTTCCCGGAAGACCCGCGCGCGCCAAACCCGCGCGCTCTCGCGACCGTAAATTATGTCCTAAACTAATCATCATTCTCTCGGTATATATATATATATATATATATACACACTCCGAATACCGACTCCGACATTAGATGTGTCTCGCATTTATGGCAGCGACGGATTTTTCCCCCATCTCGTTAAATAAGCCTCATCTTTCTCCCCTCGGGTTATATTCGAGGTCCGGGATTGCCTCGAATACCCCAGAAATGTCCCTCTCATAAAAATTCAACGATCCGTGTGGACGTGCCGTCAAATTGGAAAGTAATGCCTCTTTGAATATAACGCTGTTATAATGTAACATCCTTCTAATTGATAAGTGTATATGTGAATTAATTCTATTTCGCTTTACTTAAATTTCTATGTGGATTCATTTAATTTACAATATCTCCTTCTCGGGAAGAATGAAAAGAATGAAGTGCCCAACGGCGCGCAAAGACGGCCGACAATTAGCGGGAGAAATAAAATTTAGTTCTTCAAGAGAAGTATTAACCGCGATCTCTCACTTCCGCTCGGTGGACACCGCCTTATGAGATCACCGTAAACACAATTTAACCGGGGAGGAAGGCACGATCATCGGAACGGCGAGACCGGTGCTTCGGTGAATTAGCGCCAATTAAGCGACGAGCTTTTTTAGCCAGCACGGCGTGACTACGCGACTGTCACGTAATTTTCTTTGTTCGTGCTAGCAATCGCAAGAGAACATTCGCTTGTCGTTCCCCTTTAATCTCTCATTCCGTCATCTATCGAACTCGCTGTGTTCTAAAAAAGTGCACTCGAATATCTTTTCAAATTTGAGAGTGTCTCCCGCATACGTTGAATTAATAAATAATAAAATATTTTATTACGACGGATGAAATATAATAAATATATATATATATTTTATAATATAATAAATAAATATATTTTATTACACCGAGAGACACATGCGGATATATACTTGAGACAGACTCGGAGCGAATGATTTCTACATTAATTCATATACTTTTCTTTGCGAAGGATTCTCGCTCGAATATAAGTCACGAGAAATTCTTCGATGCGTTGCTCGAAGGTATCGCAGACTTACGAAAATACGGTTGCAAAGGCGAGTCAAGAGTCGGGGGGTGGGGGGGAGCTTCCGACGCGGCGGAGGCGAGCGAAAAGTATATATCGACGATCCATCGCGATTCAGAGCGAACGCCAAAAGCTCAGCCTGTCCTGGCGGATTCCTTCGAAAATCCATTTAAGAGGATCCTCGTCGGCGCTTTAATGGATGCATCAGATAATTGAGAACCGCTTTCGAGCACCTTCTTCTCGACTTGGATTAAGTATATTCACATAGATTCGCACGAACACAAGCGGGCTCGAGGAGGATTACTTTCCCTTCGAGCGTCGGCGCACCTTCGTGTATCGTATAGGACTTCGTCCTTCGTCCCTCTTCGCTGGTTAGAAGCGAATAGCCTGCATGGACGTTCACGAGGGCCGACGAGGATATACGGTACTTGGTGTTGTCTACACATTTTTTTCCAAGCACTTAATTACTCGCGCGAGACGAGAGGGCCGAAATGAGATTCCGCTTTGAAGAATGTGTCGAGCGAAACAAAATTGCAAATGTATCGTACAAAATATATTCATTTTTTTTTTCTTAGCGAATAAATCTAGCGACGGAGAATTTACCTGTGCGCGTTTGTTACTCGAAAAATTAATTGTGTAGATAACACAAGAGATTATATCAATCTTTAATCTGGCGATTTATTATTTGTCACGGATATATATGCGAGATTTATTATTTCTATTTACTTGTGTGCGATACGTAGACACGTATTACCGCGCAATTATTTATAGCGCATCCGGCGAGCCACCATTCAGCTCGTCTCTTTTCACTTCGCAAACGGAGGCGAGTCAAAGCTGATCGAGCGAATCTGGCGTGCAGACGCCCCGTGAAAAGATCGGCTCGCTCGCGCTTTATGCATAAAGGTTTTATAGCGCGGCATAAAGTATTCAGATTTTTGAATTGTAGATACCCGGAGCGACGGACGTCGGAGAAAAAAGAAGTTAAAAGCCGGCGATAAAGCGTTAACCGTTTATTGCTACTTCCGCCTCGGGGGCAAACGGTTCGTCCGGGAAATAATTCAGTAATAATGGATGAGAATGTGCACTTTTTCGCGACAGCGCGAAGATACATACATGGGGGAAATATAACGTCGGGTACGTGATTTAAAAATAAAATCGATTGTGACGGCAGAAATAATGGAAATGGCGAAAAAAAAGGAGAAACGTAAAAAGTGGATTACAGCGGCGTTATTTCAGACTGGCGATTACTTTTGTTTCTTCCTTGTTTTTTAATTTATAATAATAACGTATTTGTAAAAGAGGGTACGCGCACGGAGGAAGCACTGTCGCAATGATCTAAAGAGCGTTGAAGCGGCGAATCCCTTATTGGATTAACGGTCTAATGGATAACTCCGACGAATATGGGTCTATACACGGTGCGTGTTCGTGCGTAAATTGAACAAATTATAGAAGAATGCCTTTGGTGTTCGTGGGTGGACTCCTTGCACCCTTCAGTCTCCCCATAGCAGCGACAAAAGACGGTGGTTCTCAAATCTTGTACGCTCCCGCTCTCTCGGGGTGTGCGTCAGTTCGACGTAAAACCTGCCGTCCGACGCTCCGTAAAATCGTTCCGATCGTTAAGGACATTTCGACCGAACCGAGTTTAATTCAATTTGTATACGTGGCGCGTGAAATTAATTGTCATTGGCCGCGCGTTTTATACCTCCCGTAACGGACGGTAATCTCGCTATATTGATTGTTCCCTTTTTTTTACATCAATAACAATTAGCTGATTGTCAATTGCAACGCTCATTAATATTTTAACTGACATTCATGGGAACATAATTAATGAGAAACGTCGGCATCGACCGTGCACGCGCGCGGCAATGAGCACCTTCTGATTCGTGCGATGGACAAGTGGTCATAATTACGTGCGATGATATACATGGGCGTGTGCGTGTCGGTGCGCGCGCGCGTGTGTGCGTTTAAGATCGCGCGCGGGGCACGAATCGCATCTTAAAGCGGGATCAGTGCATCGTCGTGGACCGTGGAGATCACGTGCACGAGAAAGGAGAGCGTCTTCTTCTTTTCGGCGCGATATACATTTCCGTACGAATTTCCCGTGTGGATACAACATTCGTTGGTGTAACGCGCGTGTAATTGGCCTTGAGAGATGCTGCTCTTCGTTTGGATACTTTACCTTTGTACGATAGGTATATCGTATGAAATATGTTAGATATAGTGTTTATCGGGACCTTGTGACAGTGAAGGTAGAAAACGTCGCGGGACAGAAAATGTAGATAGTCGGGTAGTTTTAGAAACGGAGAATTGTCCGAAAATCAGAATCTTCGCCCGTATATAAGTTTTAGGAGAGTATAACTTGTAATCTTGTTATTCTTGCACGCGTTTTGCACCGAGTATCCGTGTTCGAAGAATTGAGATAGTCGGAAGGGTGATTAAAATAAAAGAACTAGAACGCGCGCGCGCGCCTCTCCGTTCCGGCTATCTTGCGCTCGGAGGAATATTTTCGCTGACGTATTCGAGCTGTTAAAAATACTCCTTTGGAGTTTCAGAATTTGCAAGTGGATTAAGAGGAAGGAAAAATGAATTGCGCGCATTTTATATATATATATATATATATA